ACAAGACAAGGATGCCCACTTTTGCCACTCTTATTTAACATAGTACTGGAAGTCTTAGCCACAGCAATCAGACAGGAAGAAAAAATAAAAGGGATCCATATGGAAAAAGAGGAAGTGAAACTGTCAATATTCACAGCTGACATGATACTATACTTAAAAAACCCCAAAGACTCCATCAAAAATTTACTAGACTTAATAAATAAATTTGGCAAAGTAGCAGGATGCAAAATTAATATCAAGAAATCGATGGCATTCTTATACACCAATGATGAACTCACAGAAAGAGAAACTAAAAACAAATCCCATTTACCATCTAGGCAAAAAAATTAATATAACTAGGAATAAACTTAACCAAAGAAATGAAGGACCTATTTGCAGAAAACTACAGGTCATTGGAAAAAGAAACAGAGGAAGATATAAAAAAGTGGAAGCGCATACCTTGTTCATGGATTGGAAGGATTAACATCATTAAAATGTCCATATTACCCAAAGCAATCTATAGATTCAATGCAATCCCCATCAAAATACCAATGACATACTTCACAGAACTAGAACAAATACTCCAAAAGTTCATATTGAACCGAAAAAGACCCTGAATAGCCACAGCAATCTTGAAAAAGAAGAACAAAGTTGAAGGGATCACATTACCAGATTTCAGGTTATACTAAAAAGCCACTGTAATCAAAACAGCCTGGTACTGGAACAAGAACAGGCTATAGACCAGTGGAACAGAACAGAGAACCCAGAAATGGACCCAAGACAATATGCTCAATTAATTTTTGACAAAGTTAGCAAAAGCATACAGTGGACTAAAGACAGTCTCTTTAATAAATTATGTTGGGAAAATTAGACAGCTACATGCAAAAAAAAAAAAAAAAAAAAATGAAACTAGACCATCAACTTACATCATACCTAAGAATAAACTCAAAATGGATAAAAGACTTAAATGTGACTCATGAATCCATAAAAATCCTAGAAGAAATTGTCGGCAACAAAATTTCAGACATCATAAGCAGCAGAATTTTCACTGATACATCACCTATGGCAGAAACAAAGGAAAAAATGAACACATAGGAATACATCAAACTCAAAAGCTTCTGCACAGCAAAAGAAACAACCACCAAAATGGAAAGGCAACCCACTGTATGGGAGAGCATAATTGCCAATGATACATCAGATAGGGGGTTAATTTCCAAATATATAGAGTGCTCATACAACTCCACAAAAGGAAGACAAAGAACCCAATTTAAAAAATGGGCAGAGGAACTAAATAGACACCTCTCCAAACAGGACATACCTATGGCTAAGAGACATATGAAGAAATGCTCAACACCACTAATCATCAGAGAGATGCAAATTAAAACAGCAATGAGGTATCACCTCACACATGTCAGAATGGCCGCCATCAATAAATCATCAAACAACAAGTGTTGGTGAGGGTGGGGAGAAAAGGGGACTCTAGTACACTGCTGGTGAGAATGCAGACTGGCAGCCACTATGGAAAACAATATGGTGTTACCTCAAGAAATTAAAAATTGAACTTCCATTTGACCCAGTGATCCCACTTTTAGGAATGTACCCTAAGAAGTCTGAAACACCAATCAGAAAGAATATATGTATCCCCATGTTTGTAGCAGCACTATTTACAATAGCTAAGATCTGGAAGCAGCCCAAATGTCCATCAGTAGACGAATGTATAAGAAAGCTGTGGTACATATACACAATTAAGTACTATGCAGCTGTAAGAAAGAAAGATCTCTTATCCTTTGAGATGACATGGAGGGACCTGAAAAGTATTATCCTAAGTGAAACAAGTCAAACAGAGAAAGACAAGTATCATATGATCTCACTTATTTGTGGAATAAAATGAACATAACTATCTGAGGAATGGGGTAGTTCCAGAGACATGGGAGTGGGGTATAGACTGACAATCCCCAGAAGAGGAGGTTGGGGGGAGAGATAAACCACAGAACTGATATGCATGTATGCATGAACAATGGACATGGACAACAAAGCTGGGGACAAGGAGGGGAGGGAGGGGGAGCAGGAATTAGTGGGGGGAAAGAGGAGAAACATCTGTGACAAAAATAAGTAAATTAATTTAAAAAAATAATGATAGCCCTGGCCGGTTTGGCTCAGCGGTTAGAGCGTTGGCCTGCGGTCTGGAGAGACCTGGGTTCGGTTCCCGCTAAGGGCGTGTGCCTCGGTTGCAGTTTGTCCCCGGCCCTGGTTGGGTTGTGCGGGTGGCAGCCACTCGATGTGTCCCTTTCACGTCGATGTTTCTCTCTCTCTCTCTCCCCCTCCCACTCTATCTGAACAAAATATCGAAAAATGTCCTCAGGTGAGGATTAAAAAATAAAAATAAAAAAATAAAAAATAATGATATTCTTGAGGGGGAAAAGTGCTAAAGATCAGTTAGTGAATTTCTTTAAAAGGAGTAATATAAAGTCAGTTAAGCAAACATAGGAGGAAAGTCACTTTTAACAGTGAGAAGAGACAAGAAGCACATCTCACAAGTGTGCAACCGTTGTTCCCTCTTATTCCCAATCTCATTACACCTCTTCTGACTAAATATTAAATAAAGACCTTATGGAATTAAAGGCCGGGACATTAACAACAAAACATACAGAAGAGTTCATCTGCCTAGTCATCTGAGGATGGACTGGGGTTGAGGGGTGAGGGTAATTGTCACAGTACTAAAAGTAGTTAATTGGAGACAGATCATGCACAGGTATTCAAAGAAATGAATGTCAATCCTTAGTGTCCCCGAAAGTTCTATGTATATTTTCTAGAGCTTCTCAATGTCAATTTCAAAGGAATTCTCCCTAGTAAGTATAATACTTTTATTTTCTCAGTATTTAAAAAAAGAAAAGAAAAACAGAATGTTATCTGCAACAGTGAGTCATCAGCCACTGCAGTTCTACAACACCCAGGTCTCTCCCTGTTGCTGCAGCCCTTAGAATGGAGAGGGCTATCTTTTAATGACACACATAAATCCCGGCACAGCCTGGTTGCAAAGCATAATTAATTCTGGCCTTTTTTGCTTAATGAAACACCTTACACACATGAGAGAAGTGAGTTTTTTGTGTGTACCTCAAACAGGGGAAGCCCTAGCAACAACCTACTTTCACTCAAAATGTTCTGTATGTCACGTTTGTATGAGCTCTGCCATCATTTCTTCAAAATATATCTCTTATAACAAGCAACGTGCTAAAAGAACACTTATAATCCACCACCTGTACGAACAGTTTTCTTAACTTTTAAAAGTGTGAAATATTTTGTTTTTCAGATTCTTGGCAACAAACACATGGTTTTGTCTTTCAGCTTGTGGCTGCGATAGAAGAGTATTCAAACAAAGTAATCTCTTAGATGTAGCTGCTCAATATCATTTCCTTTTATTAGAATAATTTTTCATATTTATACTTATATGTTGCAGCATTACATTGTTGAGAATTTCAAAACATAAAGTTCCAAGGTTCCATTTCAAAACACAACCAACAATATGAGTAAAATTTTTGGAAAAAAAAAATTGTCTGAAAGATTTACTTTGAAAGATATACTCCTCTTTATAACATTCAATTATTCTAGCCCTGAGGAGTCTTGAAAGCAAATGCCTACTTTTAAAGAAGTTACTAATGCTATAAATGAGGTTTCTTGCTTTAATTAAAAATTGTACATAGAACAAGTGAATAATAAAACATAGAATTCCTCTCACCTGTTTAGGTGTAACCCCAGGCATTCGAATATCCAATGCAAAATCGGATGAATCAATAGGACTTACTGGTCGGGAGGTACCAAGACATTCATTAGAAAATGATCTGGTAGTTTCTTTAAACCTTAAAAAAAAAAAAAAGATAATTTCAATATCCTTGAACATAATGAAATCTTAACTTGACATGAAAAGGAAAAAAATAGAGGAATTCTATAACTGTAAAATCAAACATTATTGATTTAGACCTGATGAAAAGATGTGATATATAATATAAATATAAAATATATAATATTTTTAAACATTCTCAGAATTATACTTTATAGCCCATGAGCAATATATATCTAACCTATAAACAAAATATAATCAAAGCAAACAAACAGGTTATATTTAAAACTCAATTCCACAAAAACTTGTCAAAATATTTATATTTTTAGTTAATGAAAATACAGCATTAATAAATTAGAAATTAACAGAGGGCTGACAATTTTCTGATGTAAGAAATATTAACTATAACCTAGTAAAATTTTTGTAACTATTTTATGAGTGCCCAGTATTACTAGTCAGGAACAAAAAAAATCAACAATAATAATGCTAGGAGGCAGAATTGGGGGAAGGGGGAGAAGGCTGTGATGTGAATTACAAATGTACAAGTGCATAAATATTTAATATGGTAATTATGAGGAGTGTGTCTGTTACAGCCCATGATCTGTTTCTCCCCACCACTTACCTATATTGATATTTTATTTTTCCAGCTATTATAAAACAAGAAGGCATTCAAGTCTAAACGACTCTATGCAGTTTCTGAAATATCTCCCCAAGAGGGAGCGATTTGTATTGGAAATCACAACTTCTAATTGAAGTTTTGAAAGCCAGTGCAGCTTGGCTGCACCACAGAGGGGTTTTCTGGAAGGGGACTTCACAAGAAGTTCCTGTGCTAAAATTCCAAGTCGGTTCGGCAAAGTCAATCAGCCTGGTCGATTCCTCCAGCACTCTGGTCCCTAAAAGTGATCACGGTGTTCATCAGCATGCACAGAAACCACCCCGACAACATTCCGCCGCTTTAAAACACACACACACACACCCACCTCTTAAAGACAGACAGTGGGCTTCTGAAGCCCAAACAGCCGCCTGGGCACACGAGGAGGAGGAGTAGCAGGCTCCGAACGCCAGCCATGTCCACGCCGCTCCGGCCCCGCCGGGAGGACGGGCAGCGGCGCGGGCTGGGCCGGCGGTGGGGCAGCGGCGCCGCCAGCGGCCGCTACTCCATGGCCGGGCGCGGCGGGCGTCCTGCGGCGGCCGCGCACCGTCTGCCAGCGAGGGCGAGCGGACCGGGCGACGTGTCTGGATCCCTCGCCTCGCGCAGAAGCCCGAGCGAAGGCGGTACTTTTGTCCGGTCCTCGAGCGGAAGCTTTCCTCCGTCCAGAGCTGCTTTCCCCCCGGTGCTGGGCTAGACTTGAGGGCTCCTTATCACTGGGGAATGATAGGGACTGTGAGGGATGTCACACAAACCCGCGTCAGTCATCATTCAGAACCTGCAAAAATAGAAGCAGATAATGGATGACTAACACATTACAGCACTTGTCCTCAGCAAATCCCAGCTGAGGTTCTTTAATACATTCGTAGTTTCACAAGCTTGAGCCCAAGCCTGGGGAAAATGCTGGTCAGTTGATCTCCCTCCCCCGCACCAGCCCCCAAGATTTCACCAGCCCCCAGAGCCCCAGTTTTGCTTTCTTCCTATCTCATACCCACTCTGTCCTTTTTCCTCTCTACTTTTCCCCCTTTTCCCTCTCATCTACCCCATTCTCCGTATTTCTTCTCCTTACTTGCTGTATCATTCCCTTCTATCATCAAAAATGCACTTAATACTCTGCTGAATATAGACAAACTTGTTCACACAAATGACAGGCTAAGGGCAAAGGAAAAGGGGGGGGGGGCTGAGAAGCAGAGACAAAGCACTTGGATGCAACAGTGAACAGATAGAAAAAGATTTTGAGAACAAAGGCATGTTTATGTGTATGCACCACAGAGCTAGAGATGTAAGGGGAAAGAATACCCCTGTTAAGAAGATCACCACAGAAGCAATCGCTGAAGTTCTCGGGGTTATTTCAAAACCAACTAAAAGTCTACAGTTAACATGATATATATGCAATGTAAATGTCTATTTAATAATTTTGCATGTAATATACAACATAATAATTATTCCTAACGCAATACCACCCAAAACATATTCTTTCGTGAATAAAGTTTGGAAATTTATAATGCAATGCATTTAGAAACAGCAGGGGGAATCTCAGATAGCCCCCAGATGAATTTATCTACAAAGGGTATGATCAAGAACTTAAAATTAATATAAAAGAGAGGCCGTGCAGAATTAGTGCAACATCTGGACATTTTATGAAGAGACTCAACTGGGCTAAATTTTAAAATATGAATGTTTTGACTTTACTGTTGTCTTGAACATTTTTCAGACTGTATCAAGTTTGTAAATTGTAGTCAGAAGGCATTGTTTTCAACTCTATCATTTACGATATAAAAAAATTTTAATCACTGATTATAAACATAGTTTGGGAAACCTCAAATCCAATGGACAGACGAATAACAGTAAACAACGAAAACTGTAAGATCATGTAGAAATACTCCACAATAAGACATTAGCCTCTAAATTATCCTCTAAAAAGCATGAACTAAAATTAAATGTTAAGATTTCATGGTCAAAGCTTTCTAGAAGACACCCAATATAAATAAAACATGATAGAATGAATACCCAACCAATCCAGAGATGCTTGGGGCTCAGCAGCACCCAAGGACCACAGCTAATTTACATAAGCAATGACATTTTTAAAAGACTGATATTTTGTTTGAACTTTCTCTTTGTCTTGCTGTTTGAAAGTTCAGCAACAACAGCAACAAAAAAACTTCAGTTTTGTCCCAGTCCCTGGGTAAAGGAGAGAACTCCTTATAGGGGAATAGAAACAACTGCCCTGAAGGCTATGCTATTGCCTTTGCTAGCAACAAAGTATAATCTTGTCTAATGACAATACTTAACATTCCCCGAAGTTCTTATTTTTAAAATATATGTGGAGAAGGGATATTTTATTTCATGCAGAACAGGTTTCAAGGACAGTCTTTCCAGTTAGCAGGGAGATTTGGTATTATACAAAAACTTGAAAACAAATTTAATATCAAAATTCTTTAAGAGGAACACATCCTTAAGTACTAGCCTTTGAAAAAAAGTCCACTTATCTCTTTGATTGATTTTATTACCTTTGAAGTGCCTAAACTACCCACTAAAAGAAAAGGGAACTTAAGTTGTGGGTGGAAGCAAAGCTGATATTTGCAGCATGAACTAGACACAAGGTCTTATAGGAATGAAAGCTAATTATGCTTCTTGGTACTTGACGCCTTGTAAACGAGAGACAAAATACAAATCATCAGATGAAAAAAGTCATGTCTTACCACTTCACTTGTTATTATATAATTCCTGATACTTTTACAATATATAATACTTTTTAAAAATGTAGAAGTCTTCTGATTTAGGATTTTAAAAACTCAAATATATTTCTTTGAGATAATTTATTCCCTCACTAATATATGTAGCCCGGAAGGTGTAGCTCAGTGGTTGAACGTCAACCCATGCACCAAGAGGTCGCCAGTTCAATTCCCGATCGGGGCACATGCCCAGGTTGTGGGCCCGATCCCCAGTGGGGGGCATGCAGGAGGCGGCCAATCGATGTTCTCTCTCATCAATGTTCTATCTCTCCCTCCTTTTTCCTTCCTCTCTCTCTAAAATCAATACAGAAAAAATAAAACACATATGTAATTCCATATTCGGTACCAAATATTGTAATATGTTGGGGTTTTATAAAATGAATAAAACTACAAGAGAATATAGCCTATTACATGAGATGAGGACCTGACAAAATTAATATAAGGTATGTTTACAATGTAGTATAAAAAGAGTACTATAAAATGGACTCATTTTGAGGTAGGAATGATCATTTCAATCTTCAAGAGGAAGATAAGAAAGAACAGAAAGGTAAAGCAGCCTTCACTGGAAGAGATAACTGCTGAGGAGAGCTTGGAGGGTGGCAGGGTCTGCACTGTGGGAGATGGGCATGGGCACTGCAGGTGCAGAAAAGGCCAGGGGCACTGGAGTCCAGGTGGGGAGCAGAGGATGTGTTTAAAAAATAAGTAATATAATATAGGTTCTGCCTCCTAGACTCTAGCTGTAGGTCCAGATTTATTATTTTATTTGTAATACAAAGCAAATATTCTGTTTACACATCCATGAATTCTTAGTAAGAATAATTTATAGTTTATACCTGTATGGATATTAATTCCAGGAGCAGTGCTATCATTACATAGCAAAGTCCAGCCTGATTCAGAGGACCATAAAACTAGTTCGGCTTTTACAGAGTAGAGTCCATTCCTTTCCATTTTCATTTGAAAAAAAAAGAAACAAAACCCAAAGAAGTGAAATTTTTAATTGTTCAAAGAATCAAATAAATATATTGATCATTCGTTGGGTTATTTATTCAACAAGAGAGAACCCAGTATAGCATAGTGGCTAAGAGCTTGTAAACCAAAGAAAAACGACCTGGACTCCGGGCTCCACCATTATCTGTCTTGTGAAACTGAACAAATATCTAGCCTCTCTTGACTCAGTTTCCTCATCTGCAAAATGGAAATAATTCTACCTATCTCACAGGGTTATTACAAGGAATAAATGAATTCATATTCTTAGAAGAGTTCCAGGCACATAACAAATGTATGCTTTTACTATTGTTGGAACACAGATTTATTGAGTGCCGCAGATTCTCTTAATGCTGGGGGTGGTAATAACTGAGACAGATCAAGTTCCCTCTCTTAAAACAATTACTTTCCAGTGGGGAAAAAAACAAATGAAAATAACTATCAAATATAAATTTCATTTTATTTTAAGGAGATTTCATGTGGTTTCCTACAATGACTTATGATTACACTGATCAAAGGGTGCATATCCATTCACAGAGCAATTTGACTCCAGGGATTTATTCTTGGGCAAAAATTGAACAAGAGTACAAACATGTTGATAAGGATATTTACTAACATTGTTTATAATAACAAAGAACTGGGTGTTTATAACGGAAATCAATTTAAATGTCCATCAATAAAAGATCGCTGAAAGAAATTATTTTTTGATAAAAAACTTGAATACTATACATCCCTTTAATAATATATGATATCATATATTTTTAAAATATTCTATAATGTATTTTGCATACTTTTAAAAAATGTTTCAACAGTCTCAAACTTCCAGAAATGTTGCAAGCGCAGCACAAAAAACTTTTCCCTTTAATTATCTGAGAATGAAATGCTGGCCTGGTGATGCCTCATCATCTCTGAATACTTTTTATGTATTTTCTAAAGTCCATCCCACTAAATAACCACAATATAGCCACCAAAATTAAAATATTCACCTTGACACATTATTATCATCTAATCTTCAGTCTCCTACTTCGCCACTGTTCCAATAATATCCCATATATCAAAAGATCCCATTCAGAATCAAGCATTGCATGTAAAGTTGTCATGTCTCTAGTCTTCCTCACTCCAGGACAGTTTCTCAGTCTGTCTTTAACTTTTATGACCTTGACTGCTCTATTGAAGACTTCAGGCCAGTTATTTTTCACAATGCCTCTCAATTAGTGTTTGTTTTCTACTATAGTAGGACTAGATTCAGGCTGTGCATCTCTGGCAGGAATATCACAGAAGTGATGCTGTATTCTTCCCATTGCATCTGTATTAGTATCCATTCCTGCATATTAAATTACCCCAAAACTTAGTAGTTGAAAACAATAAGCATTATTTTGCAAAGTCTGTGTGCCTTTTGAAAGAGTTGCTTCTCTGGGTGGTTCTCTAGTGGGGGTGCAATCAAAATGTTGGCAAAGGCTATAATCATCTGAAGGCTTGACTGGGGTTGGTGGATTTGCTTGCAAGGTGACATTCAGATGGCTGGCAAGTTAGTGGTGGTGATATGCAGAAACATCATTTCCTCACTATGTGGCCTTTTCTGTAGGATTGTTGTAGTGTCTTTACATTATGTCAGCTGGCTTCCTCAAGAGTGAGCAATGTTTTTTAGGACCTACCATCAGATATCACATACCAGAATTTCTGTAATATCCCACTGGTTACCCAGGTCAACCCCACTCAGTGCAGACAAGGATTACCCACGGGCATAAATACCAGGATATGAGGATCATTTTCTTGGAAGCTGGCTACCATAGCATCTTATTAGGTGGCACACAATTTTGATTTTTCTCATTGTTGACGATATTACTTTGATCATTTGATTGAGGTAGTGTATTCCAGACATTTCCACTGTAAAGTTACCATTTTTCCTTTTGCCATTAGTATTTTTTGGTGAAGAGGTTATTTTTGATATTATAAATATTCCATTTCTCATCGAACTTTGGTTTCATGCATTTGTTTATTACCTCCTAATGAACTAATGTTTTTTTTAAATTTTATTCAAAGGGTTTTAAACTGTTAC